AAAGTGCCCAGAAACAAGGAACTTCAGAAACACAACTTACTGTTCTGTTTAAAAAGTCTTTTAGAACTAACAGTTCCATTTTAAAATTACCCTTGAACTTTTATTTCCCATGTTGTTTTTTCCTTTCGTTTTTTTAGCTGCCATTCTAAGGTCTGAAATTCTGCTAAGCTCACTTAAGCCTTTTCAATACCTTTCTTGGAGATACTATATATAAGTACAAGCACTGTATACAAGTTCAGATACTGTTGAACTTCATGGAAAATTACCTCATAGTTCTTATGACTTCATTCATGCACTCCAGACTACTGCCCAGACTTTATATTATGACATCTCATTATTGCCCACTGTTCAGCATAACCATTTCTAGAAACACAAAGGCCTTTTTCTATTATAAGCGCAGTGAGAATTTTCCATCTTATATTTGAGCTGTAAATAATTTCCTACCAAAACCATGTTATTCTATTAGGACATTTTTTATATTAATTAAGGCTATTCTTCATTCTAATTCTACATTTCAAGGTATACTTTCATTTAAAAGCCAAAAAAAGTATCTCTGGTACATGTTAAATAATAAATGTTTCATTACTCAATGATTAAGTCCTAATAACTTCACCTGAATAATCACATATAGTTATTTCCAATTAAAGACAAGAAAAATTAGTTTCAGAGTTCAATGTAGTACCTAGAGGGAAGTAAAAATTGGGAAGAAGTATTAACTGTCCAGTATCTCCCTCCAACCCACCCTGTTCCCGTGATAGAAATCCAAGGTTATCTCATCTACCTGGTAACCACAGAGAAACACTCAAACTCAAAATATCAACAATTATCACCTATATGGGCCACATCGCCAACCAGTATCAATTCATATCCAACTATTTTGCTACTATAATAAGATGGTGATTAGCTCGAGAGACATAAATTGGGAGAACCTATGGATTCTGAGGTTTTCTAATGCAATAACATCTCATTCCAGTCAATTTTACAATGTATTCAAAAGTAACAGATTTGCCGAAGTATTATGCTTACTGTCCACATTACTTGACCTGATCAATCATACATGGCTTTTTTTTTTTTAATCTAAAAGAAGTCACAAATGGACTACACCAATGTAAAAAGTTTACACCATCTGTGAAGAGAGTCACATCCATCAGTTGATACATATCCTCAAGGACATAGATTCTACAAATGTAACGTAAATCAATACATGAAAAGTTTAAAAACTGGTAAGCGTAAACAGTTCTGTGGTGTCCAGCTATAAAAGGTGGCAGCATCAATATGAGCATCTCATCTGTCGTGGGTCCCACTAAAATCTATTCCCAGCATAGCAGCTAGAGTGAGTCTTTTAAAATATCAGTCACAGGCCGGGCTCGGTGGCTCAGCCTGTAATCCCAGCACTTTGGGAGGCCGAGATGAGCCCACAGGTTCAAGACCAGCCCGGGCAGCTTGGCAAGACCTCGTCTCCACAATAAATAAAAAATTAGCCGGGCGTTATAGCGCACACCTGTAGTTCCAGCTACTTGGAAGGCTGAGGTGGAAGGATTGCCGGACCCCAGCAGGTCAAGGCTGGGGTGACCATGAGAGTGCCACTGCAGTCCAGCCTGGGGACAGAGTGAAACTCTAACTCAAAAAAAAGAAAAAAAAAATCAGTCACATTCCTGTGCTCAAAACCTTACAATGGTGCCCCATCATACTTGGAGTTGAAATCAGATTATCCCCAGAGTCCCCAAGCTCCAGTACCCTGGTCCCTCCCCCACTGGCACACCCCTGCCCCCTGCTGTCTTGTCTCTCCTGCTACTCTCCCAATCCTCCCACGCCTGGCCTCACTGGCCTCCTTACTACTTCACAAACTTCCAGTCATGCCCCTGCCTCAGAATCTCTGCACATGTTTCCCTTCTTTCTGGAGTGTTTTTCCTGACACTATCCCTCACCTTCTCAGTTATTGGCTCAATGAAGACTTCCCTGATTAACCCAGATAAAAATCCTAGTCCCCCCTTCTTTGTTTGCTTTTGGAGGTTTTGCTTGTTTTTACATAGCACTTCTTACCAGCTGTTACACCACCTCCTATTATTCATTCATAGTCATCTCCCCTGATTTGAATGTGAAGTCCACAAGGACAGACCCTCAACATGTGGAGACTGCAGAAACACTGTTTAATAGTGTCTGCTTGTTAGCTTTCCTGTCCTCACATTTGCATGTAAGTTCCACAAAGACAGGGACTGGTGTTTCTGACCTGTGCAGCCCTAGCCCTAAAACAAAACCAGAAATGTCGCTGACACTTGACACGTACTGTTACAGGAACCCTCATAAGTTTTTGGCAGAGAACAGAAAGAAAAGTTCAACTCAGATCTACACATTCTCACATCTTGATCAGCTCTAAAATAATATAGCCCAATGATTACTGAATCATTCATAATTTCACTTAAAGAAATATATACCAGCTGGGTGCAGTGGCTCATGCCTGAAATCCCAGCACGTTGGGAGGGCAAGGTGAGCTGACTGCCCGAGCCCAGGGATTCAAGACCAGCCTGGCAACCTCATCTCTACAATTAAATTTTTTTTTAAAAATTAGTCAGGTTGATTAATCCAGCTAAAAAATTAGTGGTTGGCAGACACCTGTGGTTCCATCTACTTGAAGGTTGAGGCAGAAGAATCACCCGAGCCCAGCAGGTTGAGGCTGCGGTGGTAGTGAGCATGCCACTGTACTCCAGCCTGGGTGACAGAATGAGACTCCCATTCAAAAAACAAAACAAAACAAAAAACCTGTATTTTGTGTATAATCCAAAGTGCAATTAAAAACCAAAAGTGACAGGAGAAGATTAGTGAGAAAACATCAGTGCTTCTTTGGTGATAAGAAATGAACTTTCATGGTACAAAATTCTCATATTATGAAACAAAGTCAAATCTACTTTCATTTCCCCAATACTTTTCCTCTCCCATTAATCAATTATTAGAAATTTTATTAAAAAGAGCTTTAGTCCCTTATTTCTCTTTCCAATATGGAAGCTAATCCATAACATAGAACAATGTGGCATTTACTTTCTTGACAACCATCTGAAATAATAAAGTTTTCCTTTTGTTGTTTTACTCAGAGCTCAAGCATGCTGAATGAGGATGGCAAGAAATGCGGCTACTAGAACAAATGTGATGCAATCAAGACAGACTTTGTCTCTCTATACCAAGGGAGCCTTCTTTGTTTGCAGCAAAGATGCTTCCACTCAGAGTGATAAGGAACAAAGCAGAGACCACAGCGGTGCCTCCCCTGAGATTAAGACAAAGTCTTTTCAGTCAATCCAACTAATCAGAAAACACAAATGCCCAAGGTCTTTCACCCTTGCTGTGACTGCCCGAAGCAAAGCCACGCCAACTGCACTACCATCCATTTTCCAACCCCTCTGGAGCTTAGTATGATGGGTCAAAATGGACCACAGTTTCCTTTAAATTCAGAGTAAATGATCTATAGCTTTACCTAGTCTCACAGATAAATCTACAGGATGAACTCAGCACTTGTGGAGGCTAAGAATCACAGTATTCCTTTCAAATATACCCAGTCAATTTTAAAATGTGAGAGATCAGCACGTGGCTCCAAAATAGGTAAAGAGCTTCCTGAGTCTGGACTAGAGGTGGAGACTTGGGCATCACCTGCATTCTCAGAAGCATCACTCACATATCTGCTTACATATCACATGAGATCTAATGTATAGGAAATACAGCATATGAGGAGGCCATGAGCACAACCACTGCCACGCATGTGCAGGCCAACCTACGGGACAGGGTCATGGATTTGGAACCATGGCCTATACAGTCCATAGTCACACTGAGGCGGGAATCACAAAGCACAATGCTCTCAACCTCTCGCCTCAAAGTCAAGTAAGAGGAGAGTGTCACCTCTCCTGTATTATGTTGAGGTCCTGCAAAATATCACATTTTTTAAAAGTTGGGAGGTAAGGGGGTTGTTCTTAAAATGTGCCTGAAAATCAGCAGCAAAGGCTTTAGAGTCAGGGTGATCAGAGCTGAAATCCTAAATTTGTTGAGACAAGTAGACATAATCATAACTTGCAAAGAATCAGTGTTCAATAAGTGGTAGCAATGATTGATATTTATTAAAGAGGAATCCTAAGAGGTATCAAAGGTGTGATCTCAAAATACATGGCTGAGCTCTGCATAATTATAATGTGACAGTACACAGCCATTATTGGATCAGTTCATCCCTTAGCCAAATATAAAAACACCTCTTACATGCGCGCGCGCACGTGCACGCACACACGCACACACACACACACACACACACACACACACACACTTCATCCTTCAGGTACTAAGGCACAGCACCCAGGAACCTAGAGTTTTTTCCAAGGACCTACCATAAAAGGAAGGAAGGGAGAGAGAAAGGAGGAATAGGGGGAGAGAGAAAGGGAAAAAGGGGGGAGGAAGAAGAGAGGGAGAAGGGAAAAAAGTGAAGGAAGAGAGAGAGCAGAAAAAGACAGAAAGAAATAGCTCCAAAACATGAAACAAAAATTACAAAATAAAAAGACATGCTCACCACAACTAAAGCACGATATTCAAGGATTTTGGTTTGCACAAACAATTCATTACACTTAAAAAAAATCTGTAGGTTAGATTTTCTTCACCTCTCAAAAAATACCAAGAATACACAATGTGTGCAGAGGAACCACAATCAGCATCAATTCCACACTATCCTCTCCTCTGTGGTGTGGACTCCTTCTAGGCTCCCTCCAGTTGAGGCTATTCTCTCTGTGTCATTTCCCACTGCAGGGAGAAATCATGGCAGAGCCAAGAGTAAGACACGGGGAGGGATGATGCCAGTCCAGGGTGCCCTCTGTGACACCTCCCGCCCATGCTCCAGATACCGGGAAACTCCTGAAAGCTCATCGTGAAGCACTCGTTAGGGACCATCAGCCACTGTATGGCTCCTCTCCCAGTCACAACATGGTGTTTAGCCAAAGGTGCTGCAGTCACCAGCCCAGGAGGAAGAGGCACACCTGCTTTATTTTATTTCGGGAGTTGGTGATACGCTCTGTAATGCTCTGGTAGGTGCGAATGGCTGTCGTCAATTCTGTGTAGTGCTGCACTATCAATTCATCCAGGTCACGGTCACATTTCTCATAGGCTTCTTCAAGGCGACCCTTCTCATTTTCTCTATCTTCCACATCATCACTGGTAGACAGTGTCCTAGTGAAGGTAGAGAATACATCAAGTTGAGTCAAATTTTAAAGCAAAGGAAAGGGGACATCATCAAAACGAGCACATTCAGCACAAAACAAGTTTCTGATGTCTTCCAGAAGAGAATCTTTTTAGGACGCGAAAAGAGTTACTAACAACAACAACAACAACAATGCACAAAACCACCTTCACAGCAAATTCCAACAGCCCATCTAAGTGGATCTGTTGGTTACCTATTCAAAGAGCCCTTCCCTCCACTTGCTTGGTTGGCATTAAAAGTGACTTCAGTCAGCAGGCAGGAATGAACTTTTGGAGAGGCTGGGCAGCTCTTGATTTGAGTAAACTGTAGTAATTTCTAATAATTCCATTCCCCTTACCAGGGACAAGTCTGAACAATAAGATATAAAGAAGTTCTAGGAATAGTTTTAGTGCAAAAGAATAAGAAAAGTTTCCTTTTCCCAACCCGGGATACTATTACACAAAGCTGAGACACTCCAACACTTCAGTCACCTTCCAACCACGGAATAAAAAGCCAGTAGAACCCCAAACAACCACTATGTTGTCATAGGGCCATGAAAGCACCCAGCCCTGCACCTAGCTCACCTCAGGATTTCTTGTTAGGGGAGATAAGAAACAAACGTTGTATATGTCACTTTTGGCTGGTCTTCTTTTATATGTAGCCAAAGCATGCTAACTGATAAGATTACCCCTACACTAGAGCTGCCTACCCAAGAGCTTATGGGAATGACCTGAATTTGGTACAGAGCCCCAGCAGCCTGAAAAGAAGGTCTTATTAATTCTAAAACAAGACAGTTCCTGCATTTACTAGCCTTTAAACAGTGCTGACAAGATTGATATGAATCAACAATAACCAGGGAATGAGATGGATATACTTATTAAAAATCTTTTAATAACTTAGTTTGATACATGCACCACAGATCTTTGTTTCCTCTATTATATTTCTTGGATAATTTTTTTTTAATTTAGTTTTATAATCAGTAACAAAGAAACCTTTTCCTTATCTGCCGGCTGTGGTAATTTAGAGTTTCATTAAATTCCTTGGATTTGTCAGCTTATACAGTTAGCCTAGTTTATTTCATTTATCTTTTTTAATTTAGGGAGGGGATATTTTGGGCTTTCCATGATGGATTCAATCAATTATAAGTCCATCATTAGAGCACTTTCAGAGATGGTCTGTCAGCAAATTCATCACATCTTCACTTCTAGAGATCTGCAAGCAAAACACTGTACGACAGCCTTCTCCAAACTGGATCTTAATTCATGAACCATACAATATGTAAAAATTTTTTTTCAATTTATAGGCAAATTTAGGAGGCCAGTCTTTGACTTCAATCTAACCTCCAAAAAGAAGTTTGTAAATGTGTTAGAGATGCCAAGAGACCAGGTACAGCATGACAGTTGAGGAGAAGAGGGAGACAAAAATGAAGGAATGAAGGCAATAAAGGAGAAGACAAAAGCCACTAGAGACCGTGTGGGACACTCAGGAAAGTAACATTCCTGGGATACATGAACTGAAATTAATGCCTTTGCCTTGCCAAATCCTGTTTGCTCATCTGGAAGCTGGTGATCCTAAACCAGACTACTACCAGGGTTTCTTTCAGGTGGAGAATGCCACACAAGTGTTTGGCTCTTAAGGTCCATCAGAGTGGAGAATTTAGGAGAACTGCAATATTTGGGTACAGGCCTACTTGGCATGTCTCACGTCTTCCTGTTGCTTCTATGATACACAACTTTGCTCTTTAAATCTGAAACCTTCCAGGCTATTAATTTAAAGTAAGGCACAATCAGAAAATGCCTTCAATTTGTCAACTGTCCCAAAGATAAGTGTTCCTGGATATTTAACTCTATTATTTCCCCTGGTTGCAACAGTCACAGAATTGTCAAAGCCACACTGGATCAGTTTGCATCTTTATAAGGTTTTTTGTGATTTCCTCTCCACTACCATTTGTGGAAGGAAGCATGCCAAAACTGCCACATTGTTTACCCTAACTAGCTAGAATTACCATTAAGGAAAATGTCAGGCCAGAAAGGAAGTCTTCTCTGGCATCAACTGTCAATGTCAACTCATTACTGGATCATTAGAAGCTATTTAGGAGATTAAAAGAGGTTACTAAAATGAAGATTAGAGAGTAAATTAGCCCTATAGGGGGCTCTTCCTCTTATTTTCCTTTTTCAATACAATATTTATATAAGAAATACCCTGGGCCAGGTTTGCCCCACATTTGAAATTTATCTTCTTGATGTAAACTGGGATGAATAGCATTTTGTCTCTAGTCAAAAATATTTACATTATAGAACCAGAGTACAAAACTATTAAAGTTTTTTTCTTAACTAGAGAAAAGGCAAGAAGGATAATAAAAATATTAATAGCCTCTAGTATTGAGAAAGGCTTACTAGTTGTCAGGCGCCAGTTGTGTTGCACACTTCCTAAAATGTATGTTTAATCCTTGTAACAGCTTTTGGAGTGGGTCTTACTGTTACCCTACCCACCTTTTTACAGAAAAAGCAGCTGAGATTTGAAGAGGTTAAATTAATTTGCCCCATCTCACACAATTAGGATAAGAGATAGCACAGGGGTTTAAAACTCAGGTTGGTCTGTTTTCAGATTATGCCCCTAACCTCTATAGAGTATGGTCTTGACAGGCAGATTCCCACTCCCTGGGTTGGATTCCTGCCTCCACCATACTTACTACCCATTGACCTTGGTAACAGCATCTCATTTTGCTCATCTATGAAATGAATAAGATACCTTCCTTACAGGGATATTACTGAGAGTTAAATGAGATCAAACTAGGCCTGGTATGTCACTGGCACTCAACAAATGTCAGTTGTTGTTAGCTGTTAATTGTTATAGTGGTAGCAGCAAAGGCAGTGGCATTTTTCCATAATATAATAAAAAGTACATCCTCTGGAGACAAAGGTTCAAATCTCACCACCCCTAAGTACTAGATCATTTGATTCTGGGCATTACATTTAACCTCTCTGATTCTCACTTTACTCCTCCTTAATGTCAAAAGTTGTGAAGTCTGAGACTATATCCTACTTGCAAGCCAATAAGTTAGTCTGCAACAGTTTCACAGGTGCTGGCAGAAGACACAAAACCCCTGGGTGAAGACTAGACACTTGATTGCCCACAACACAGTGAGCAGTACGAGCATCAGCATGTTTGCCTCCATTCCCCTTGCCCCGAAGTCCCACAGGGGTCAGGCAGATGGGCCCAAATGGACACCCATAGAAGCCTGAGCTTAGAGAACAGAATTTTCACACTGGGCTGGAAGCATGTCTATCCCCCTTGCTCTGGAGGGAGAGACTATCTCTGTCTTCCAAGGTTGTTTGCTACACAAACATCCTTGACAAGAGAGTCTAAAACAAAGGGCACTCAGTGCTTTGCTCATAAGAACTTCAGAAACACAGCAGACCCAAGGAGAACTGCCTCCCAAGGATGAAACCAAAGTCACTGGGTTCCCATGAGATTTCATGAGAGCATGGTGCCAAGCAACAGTAGGCAGTAAACAAAGATTCATTTCCAAGCTCTGCTTTCTCTGCAAAATGAGACTAGAAGTACAATGTCTCAATGAATATTTGCAAAATAAATAAACGATAGACCATAAAAGCATGAAACAGCAGACTAATTCTAGGGAGAAAAATCCTCACACAGGCTAGCAAATCCCAGCAAATTTCAGTGCGGAATGACCTTAGTATGAGCCGGTCATGTAACCTGCATTGCCAGTAGGGTAGAAGAGAACACCTGTCACTGAGCTTACCCACTGGTCAGGTCAGGAACCTCTTCAGTCTCTAAGCCTCTGTGCAATGCAGAGCTCACCAGCTTACAAAGCAATACACTGCCAAGTTTAAACAGCTATACTTGTTAAAAGCCTTACATTAAAATAAAATAAAATCAGCCTCTTTATAATTTCTACCCACTGATTCTAGTTACAACTTTTTCAGTAATTCAAAATAAGTCTATTCCCTCTTCCATAAAATTTCCCTCTAAATGGTAGGGGACTCTCAACAGTTCTTTCTCAGGTTATATACCTCCATTGTTGTCAGCTGTTTCTCCCACACCATGGTCTCCAAGCAGCCCCCGATTCTTCCCACTTATTCTGAAGTACCCTCAGACACAACTAACACTCACACAGAACTTACTATGTGACAGGTACTTATCTAAGTGGTTTAAACATAATAATGCATTTATTCCAGAATTATTATTACCCCTCTTTTTAGAGATGAAGAGATTGAGTTGCTCTTTAAGCAGCAGAGTCAGACCTAGAACCTGGGCTGCCTGGCTTTCAGTGGCTTCACTGTCCCACCTCTCAAGATGGGTTCAGCACTGAACAAACTTCCAAATGGAAAAGGGTTTTATATCCCACAACACAGACACTGTATTTCTAATACTCTAGCCTAAAACTACACTGTATTTTTTAAAAACACAGACTCCAAAAAGTATCCAAGATTCCTTTGACTGTACGTGCTGACAAGCCAACTCTCACTCATCCTCCACTTGTGAACTCTTAAACTAAATACAGAAATGTGCATGGGCATTGGAAAGACAGGTGAAAGTGAAGCATCGGACACAAGTCACTGCGTGTCTATAGAACACCAGGCAATGCAGGGGTTGTCCTGCATACATAATGTAAGCATCCTCAAAACAGTCTGGCAAAATGGTATCACCACCAGAGCCTCACGGGGGTAGAGTAGCTTACACACATGCACACAGCTAACAACATCAGAGCCAGAAGTAAAGCTAAGAATACTTGACCTCAAAGCCCATGCTCTTCCTACTATGCATGTTAGAAATTCCTATCTTTCCTCCCTTCAACTCCTGAGTTGCGGTACTGCACCCAATCACACTACGGTTCGTATGTAAAGAGAACAGTGGACAGCTAGAGATGGAAACAGCACTAAGCAGCTTTTTAGTAAGAACAGACTTGAACCTAAACAAGAGGTTTAAAAGCATCAACTGTAAGACATGATCAAAGGACAAATGG